GTAGCCTGACTTCCCTGGTCTCTGTCAGTGTGAGCATCAAGAAGACACAGACCCATGTTAGGGAATGCAGATTTATAGAGTTCAGAGATTAGAGGAAAACTGGCATCCAGACTAAGATTTAAAACGGAATTCTGGCATACACACCGGGCGGTTTAGAATAATGAAGAGGAGGGTGTGTTATAGGCAAAGATGATAGTAGGGAATTTCAGGGCTGGCATGTTCCCTAGACAATCAATATCAAATTGGTAGATGTAAGTCAAAAAGGGAAACAGATTGCCACACTGACTGCTGACTCATCAACCTCACACTTGGGGGAGTGTTTTGTACAGACACCAGAGTCAAGAGAGGTTCCTGCCTGCTTTTTCAGCTCAGCTGTTGTGATGCCCACCCTGCTTCAGCTCTGTTTCCATTGTGATGCTTGATCAGCTCAGACAAAGTGGCCTTTGCCTCTGGCCACAGAGTCACAGCAAACCTTGTTGGTGAGTGGCAATCCGGAGCTTGTTTCCTTTCAATTGCCTTGGGACCTTTGATGAGTCATTTTACCTGGTGAGACCTGGTTGTGAAACTCGGTTTTCACTCTGTTCTGGTTTGGGCCAGAAATTTGGATACCCTCCATTAAGTCTTCTGACAACTCATTCAGCTTTTTTGTAATGCCTAGGTTATTGTTGGGTAGTGGAGGGTTAAATAATAACAAATAAAAGATACTTTATTAAAGAGAACAATAATAAAAATTAAAATGAGTATGACATTTATTGGACACCGTGTAAGGGTCACATCACAAAATTATATATATTCTCATTTACTCCTTTGGATAATTCTAGATATTTACATTTTAGTACATAATTCAAAGTCATAGATCTAGGAAGTGGTATAAATATATTTTGAGCCCAAGTTTCAGTTCAGGGTCTGGACTCTGTGAATCCCCTTTCAGTCGGTTAGACTATATTTTCCCCACACAGTTCAAGGTCCAACCCTAATTGTGGCCTTGTTTAGAAACCATGCCTCATCAGACATAACAATCAATCAATGCTCTCAAGATAACACCATCCCTTATTTCAAATGGCTGGCCTTCAAAGGAGAGCCTCACCCAGAGAAGGCCGAGAGAAAACAAGCCTAGAGATCAGTAATGCTGATCCTAGGGCCTCTGGAATTGGACAGAGACAGGGGCTGTTCCACTCCTAGGAACCTTTGGAGGGAGCCTCCGGTAACACCTTGGCTTTGAATTTCTGGATTCCAGGGCTGAGGAAAGATAATCTCTGGTTACCATGGGGTGGCTGCGGGAGCCGTCCTGGGAAACAAACCACCCAGAGGGACTCTTTCTCGGTCACGCAATCTAGATAAATGTTCAGCTGCCAACTTCAGGACAACTGAAACAGACAAGCGATGGACTTATGGTTCACTCAATACCTTTCTAGTCTGTGATTCAGTTTCACTCAGGCCTCCTGGAATGGTGGTTAATATAATAGGTTTCTAAATGTAAGAGCCTCAAACAAGACAGAGCCATATTGAAATGACCAGAGGCTGTCTGGCCTCTTCTCACCTCTCTGATCTCATTATTCGTCTGTGAATTCAGCAAAAGCTTTAGAACAGTGCAGTCCACCAGGCAGCCACATTCTTTTAGACAATTATGTGTACTTTCAATATCTTACTACGTAAACCACATGTAGATTCCTTTTCTAATGTTTTTGAATTATGGGCCTGGATTCAAATAAGTCTGACCATGCTTACAGTGTACTATAGGTGAAGTTATGATCTGTCAGGACTCAGGAAAACATGATGGTAGTGTCCTCTATTCTGGAAAGCCACAAGCTTGCATGTTTGCATGAGGAGGGAGCTGGGATTTCTCAGAGTGAGTCTGATGAAGATATAGGCTTAGAGCTTCTCACTGATGTTCAAATTATTATTTGATATTTAAATTTGATATTTATGATCAAAATATCCATGATATTTTGTGTGGAGTACCCTCAGATCGTAACACTTGAACAAATGCCTAAATTTTTATTATTCCATAACTCAGGGGGCCAAAGTTAGGTCAAGGCCTGATACAAGTCAATCACGTGGATTTGAGTCATGTAACTCAACATAGCGTTCATAGCCCTGTCTTGTGCACTACTGCATGGCTGACACTTTGCATACAGTAAGCAGTTAATAATGATCTTCACCCAGAGATGGGAAGGAGAAGGAGGAATAAAGGAAGGAAGAAAAGAAGGAAGGAAGGAAGGAAGGAAGGAAGGAAGGAAGGAAGGAAGGAA